GATGTGGGCGTGGCTTAACGTAGTCATGAATGGATGTGGGCGTGCTCAATGTGTCATACTTTATTCAAAACATATAGAACTTTATACAGATGCAAAACTATTCAAAAGAACCGAGACGGAGGTTATCCATCATCGAGGCTTCATCCTGTGGAGAAGAAACGGGATCAGAGACTACATATGGTACTCGCCTCTCTCTGGTCTCTCTCTCTGGTCTCTCTCTGGTCTCCCTCTGGTCTCCCTCTGGTCCCCCTCTGGTCTCTCTCTACTCTCTCTCTAGTCTCTCTCTGGTCTCTCTCTAGTCTCCCTCTGGTCTCTTTCTGGTCTCTCTCTAGTTTCCCTCTGGTCCCCCTCTTGTCTCTCTCTAGTCTCCCTCTGGTCTCTCTCTAGTCTCTCTCTGGTCTCTCTCTGGTCTCTCTCTAGTCTCTCTTTTTGGTCTCTCTCTGGTCTCTCTCTAGTCTCTCTCTAGTCTCTCTTTTTGGTCTCTCTCTGGTCTCTCTCTAGTCTCTCTCTAGTCTCTCTTTTTGGTCTCTCTCTGGTCTCTCTGGTCTTTCTGGTCCACTGCAGCTGAAGACCAGAACAGACCTTTCGGAGCAGAACGACCCCGAGCCGTGTCCTTCATGAACAATGAACTTATCAGATCAGGGAGTAAACTGTGCAAAAGTATTCATACTCCCTGGACTTTCTCACATGGTCTCATTATTACAACCATAAACACACACAAGTAACAGACAACTGTAAAGTGAAGTCTCGTCTCTCTCTTTTGTCCCTCTCTCTGGTCTCTCTCTGGTCTCTCTCTTTGGTCTCTCTCTGGTCTCTCACTGGTCTCTCTCTTTGGTCTCTCTCCGATCTCTCTTTCTGGTCTCTCTCTGGTCTCTCCCTGGGCTCTCTCTGGTCTCTCTCTGGTCTCTCTCTGGTCTCTCACTGGTCTCTCTCTGGTCTCTCTCTTTGGTCTCTCTCTCTGGTCTCTTTCTTTGGTCTCTCTCTTTGGTCTCTCTCTCTTTGGTCTCTCTCTTTGGTCTCTCTCTCTTTGGTCTCTCTCTCTTTGGTCTCTCTCTCTTTGGTCTCTCTCTTTGGTCTCTCTCTTTGGTCTCTCTGGTCTCCTTCTGGTCTCCTGGCCTCTTGTGTGGGACATATTTATGGTTTAGTCTGTGTCAGAGTCTGTACATTTGGACCTTTGCAGACACTAAAGCTGAGGTACGTGACTGTAATAAAATATGTCCTGGTCTTGGTCTTAGTCCGGGTCCCGGTCCTGGTCTCAGTGGTCTTGTTTTGCAGACAGCAGAAGATGGACACATCTTGTTCACGAACACCATCAGCCACAACCAGAACCAGAGCGACGTCATCACCAGGAACTACATCAACATCACCTTCGTCTGTCGCTACCCAAACTCCTACATGGTCCAGCAGAAGACCAGCCACAACCAGATCCATGTGGACGTACGGTGAGACCAGAGGGAGACCGGAGGGACCAGTGAGAGACCAGCGAGAGACCAGCGAGAGACCAGAGAGAGACCAGAGAGAGACCAGAGAGAGACCAGAGAGAGACCAGAGAGAGACCAGAGAGAGACCAGAGAGAGACCAGAGAGAGACCAGAGAGAGACCAGAGAGAGACCACAGATAGAGACCAGAGAGAGACCAGAGAGAGAGACCAGAGAGAGAGACCAGAGAGAGACCAGAGAGAGACCAGAGAGAGACCAGAGAGAGAGACCAGAGAGAGAGACCAGAGAGACCAGAGAAGGCAAGGCAAGTTTATTTATATAGCACAATTCACACACAAGGCAACTCAAAGTGCTGAACAAAATAAGAAAGCATTAAAATCATAAATAATCACAGAACATTAAAAATAAAGATAAAAATATAAAATCCCTCAGTTGTAGCACAGCTAAACAGAACTGTCTTTAACCTGGTTTTAAACATTGTCAGAGAGGAGGCCTGTCTCACATCTTCAGGAAGACTGTTCCAGATTTTAGCAGAATGAATCTGAAAAGCAGCCTCCCCATGTTTAGTTCTGACTCTGGGCACTAACAGGAGTCCAGTCCCTGTACTCCTCAGAGTCCCAGCAGGAGTCCAGTCCCTGTGCTCCTCAGAGTCCCAGCAGGAGGCCAGTCCCTGTGCTCCTCAGAGTCCCAGCAGGAGTCCAGTCCCTGTGCTCCTCAGAGTCCCAGCAGGAGTCCAGTCCCTGTGCTCCTCAGAGTCCCAGCAGGAGACCAGTCCCTGTGCTCCTCAGAGTCCGGGCTGGTTCATATGGTACTAACATGTCACTAATATATTTTGGTGCGAGGCCATGGAGAGACTTGTAACAAGCAGAGCTGTTTTAAAGTCTATTCTCTGAGCCACAGGAAGCCAGTGCAGAGACCTGAGGACTGGACTAATGTGGTCGTACTTCCTGGTTCTAGTCAGGACTAATGTGGTCGTACTTCCTGGTTCTAGTCAGGACTAATATGGTCGTACTTCCTGGTTCTAGTCAGGACTCGAGCCGCTGCATTGTGAATGTACTGCAGCTGTTTTACAGCCTGTTTGGACAGACCTGTGAGCAGGCCATTGCAGTAGTCTAACCTACTGGAGACAAATGCATGGATAAGAATCTCCAAGTCTGCTTTAGACACTATGTTTTTGATCCTGGAAATGTTTTTTAGATGGTAAAAAGCTGCTGATGGTACTGATTTGATGTGGCTATTAAAATTTAAGTCTGAGTCCAGTATTACCCCTAGATTTCTGACCTTGTTTGAAGGTTTTAGGGAGAGAGACTGTAGATGACAGATGACGCTCTCTCTTTGTTTCTGGGGACCAAAGACAATCATTTCAGTTTTGTCTGCGTTTAGCTGAAGGAAGTTGTTTTGCATCCACTCACTGATCTGTGGATGCAGTGAAGGAGTGAGTCCACTGGTCCATGTTCTCCTGCAGTCAGTGAGACATAGATCTGAGTGTCGTCTGCATAGTTGTGATAGGACACTTTGTTTCTGCGTATTAACTGACCTAACGGCAGCATGTAGAGATTGAACAGAAGAGGTCCCAGGATCGACCCCTGTGGGACTCCACAGTTCAGGGCCATATGATCTGAGACACAGTTTCCAATCTCCACAAAGTACTTCCTGTCCTCAAGGTAAGACCTAAACCAACTTAGGGCGGTGCCAGCGACGCCAACCCAGTCCTCTAGTCTCTGTAAGAGGATCTCATGGTCGACAGTGTCAAAGGCAGCACTCGGATCTAACAGGATTAGGATTGAGACTTGGCCTGCGTCAGTGTTCAGAGAGACCAGAGAGAGACCAGAGAGAGACCAGAGAGACCAGAGAGACGAGAGAGACCAGAGAGACCAGAGAGACCAGGGAGAGACCAGAGTGAGACCAGAGAGAGACCAGAGAGAGACCAGAGAGAGACCAGAGAGAGACCAGAGAGAGACCAGAGAGACCAGTGAGACCAGAGAGAGAGACCAGAGAGAGAGACCAGAGACCGTTGGAAGAACATACTTCTGTGTTATGGTGTGTCTGTGTGAGGAGGTTGTTGCTGGTACCTTCTGGTCATACACCAGTCCAAGTATTCATTGAACCAGATCCCTGTGTCCTCCTTCCTGATCTCCTCACCTCCTCCCCCTCACCTCTCCTCCTCAGCTGTCAGGTCCAGTCTCATGTCTCCTCCCCCTCCACACCTCCATCCATCCATTCCATTGTCTTCCGCTTCATCCGTTGCCGGGTCGCGGGGGCAGCAGTCTAAGCAGAGACCCACACTTCCCTCTCACGCACTTCCTCCAGCTCGTCCGACCCCAAGGCGTTCCCAGGCCAGCTGAGAGACATAGTCCCTCTGGGTCCTGGGTCTTCCCCGGGGCCTCCTCCCGGTGGGACGTGCCCAGAACACCTCCTCAGGGAGGCGTCCAGGAGGTATCCGGAACAGATGAGCCACCTCAACTGGTTCCTCTCGACGTGGAGGAGCAGCGGCTCTACTCTGAGCTCCTCCCGTGTGACTGAGCTTCTCTTTCTCTAAGGGAGCAGCGGCTCTACTCTGAGCTCCTCCCGTGTGACTGAGCTTCTCTTTCTCTAAGGGAGCAGCGGCTCTACTCTGAGCTCCTCCTGTGTGACTGAGCTCCTCTATGTCTGCGGAGGAAGCTCATTTCGACGCTTGTATCCGTGATCTGACTGCAGACGCTGCTCCCTCTTCAACACAACAGTCCGATACAGCTCTGACTGCAGACGCTGCTCCCTCTTCACCACAACAGTCCGATACAGCTCTGACTGCAGACGCTGCTCCCTCTTCAACACAACGGTCTGATACAGCTCTGACTGCAGACGCTGCTCCCTCTTCACCACAACGGTCTGATACAGCTCTGACTGCAGACGCTGCTCACGCTGCACCGATCCGCCTGTCAATCTCACACTCCATCCTTCCCTCACTCGTGAACAAGACCCCAAGATACTTGAACTCCTCCACTTGGAGAGGACTAGGACCAGGAGAGGACCAGGACCCGGAGAGGACCAGGACCCGGAGAGGACCAGGACCAGGAGAGGACCAGGACCATCACTCCTCACCTCCTCCTCACCTCCTCCTCCTCCTCACCTCCTCTCTGTCTTGCAGGACCATCACTCCTCACCTCCTCCTCACCTCCTCCTCCTCCTCACCTCCTCCTCTCTGTCTTGCAGGACCATCACTCTGAACACGGAGGATGGAAACTTCTCGGTGTCGATGGTTCTGTTCAAAGATCCTCAGTTTCAGGACCAGTGGAAAACCATCCCCTCCCTGCGTCTGGACGATACCATCTATGTCAAGGTCCACATGGTACGAGCCAGAGACCAGAGACCAGAACAGGGACCAGACCAGACCAGGGACCAGACCAGAGACCAGGAACCAGACCAGAGACCATAGACCAGGAACCAGGGACCAGGACCAGGACCTTTTGGCTCATATGAGTGTGTCCTCAGACCCCTCCTCAGCTGAGGCTCAGGATGGAGCGGTGTTGGGCGACTCCCACCAGTGACCCCTACAGCAACATCCAGTACAGCTTCATCAGGGACAGGTGAGGCCTCCTTCTCCTCCTCACCTCCTCCTCACCTCCTCCTGCTTCTCAGCTGTCAAGTCCAGTCCCTGCAGACCCTCAGAGTCCTACAGAACGGTCTGGCTGTAGCTGCTCTCCTCCTCCTCTCCTCTCTCTCTCCTCACCTCCTCCTCCTCTCCTCTCTCTCCTCCTCTCCTCCTCACCTCCTCCTCTCCTCCTCAGCTGTCCGATCCAGTCCCTGCAGACCCTCAGAGTCCTACAGAACGGTCTGGCTGCAGCTGCTCTCTTCAGGATCCAGATGTTTAAGTTTGTGGGCGGGTCCTACACCGATGTCTTCCTCCACTGCAACATCCACATCTGCCACAGCGCCCCCCAGTGTCAGCCGGTGAGAAGGCACCAGCAAGACACCAGAGACCACAGAGAGACAAGAGAGACCAGAGAGACCAGAGGGACAAGAGACCACAGAGAGACCACAGAGAGACCAGAGAGAGACCAGAGAGACAAGAGACCACAGAGAGACCACAGAGAGACCACAGAGAGACCACAGAGAGACCACAGAGAGACCAGAGAGAGACCAGAGAGAGACCAGAGAGAGACCAGAGAGACCAGAGAGACCAGAGAGACCAGAGAGACCAGAGAGACCAGAGAGACCAGAGAGACCAGAGACAGACCAGAGACAGACCAGAGACAGACCAGAGACAGACCAGAGAGAGACCAGAGACCACAGAGAGACCAGAGAGAGACCAGAGACCAGACAGACCAGAGACAACAGAGAGACCAGAAACCAGAGACACCAGAGACCAGAGAGAGACCAGAGACCACAGAGAGACCAGAAACCAGAGACACCAGAGACCAGAGAGAGACCAGAGAGACCAGAGAGACCAGAGGGACCAGAGACCACAGAGAGACCACAGAGATACCACAGAGAGACCAGAGAGAGACCAGAGAGAGACCAGAGAGAGACCAGAGAGACCAGAGAGACCAGAGAGACCAGAGAGACCAGAGAGACCAGAGACAGACCAGAGACAGACCAGAGACAGACCAGAGACAGACCAGAGACAGACCAGAGAGAGACCAGAGACCACAGAGAGACCAGAGAGAGACCAGAGACCAGACAGACCAGAGACAACAGAGAGACCAGAAACCAGAGACACCAGAGACCAGAGAGAGACCAGAGACCACAGAGAGACCAGAAACCAGAGACACCAGAGACCAGAGAGAGACCAGAGACACCAGAGAGACCAGAGAGACCAGAGACGCCAAAGACCAGAGAGACCAGAGAGACCAGAGAGACCAGAGAGACCAGAGAGACCAGAGAGACCAGAGAGACCAGAGAGACCAGAGAGACCAGAGAGACCAGACACCAGAGAGACCTGAGACCAGAGAGACCAGAGAGACCAGAGAGACCAGAGAGACCAGAGAGAGACCAGAGAGAGACCAGAGAGAGACCAGAGAGAGACCAGAGAGAGACCAGAGAGAGACCAGAGAGACTGATTAGTTTAAGACCAGAGCACCCAGACAGAAGGGTTGGGGGGATGTCTCTGACTCTTCCTAGTCTGAACAGAACTGTTCGGCTGAAGACGGTCTCCTGAGGCTGAGGAGGGACGCCCCCCTGTCCCACACCGTCTCCTACGGACCAATCAGAAGAGCCCAGGAGGAGGCCAGCACAGGTGAGGACCAGTCAGAGACCAGGAGGAGGGGCACAGGTGAGGACCAGTCAGAGACCAGGAGGAGGGGCACAGGTGAGGACCAATCAGAGACCAGGAGCAGGGGCACAGGTGAGGACCAATCAGAGACCAGGAGCAGGGGCACAGGTGAGGACCAATCAGAGACCAGGAGGAGGAGCACAAAAGCACAGTTCCAAAAATTGGGCCCCGTCCCAATACTCGCACTTCCACCCTCGCGCCCCTCATTTGCGCGTTCCCGATAAGGGGTGGGAGTGCGTAGGGTGTCCCAATTCTCCAGGGAGGTCTTTGGCCCCGCCCCCTTTGCGCCCCTGATCCACACTTCGCCGTAGCCTGCATCTATGCGCACTCTGGCGAAGGATATTGCCCATAATTCTTTGCGGTACACACCAAAACGTCGGGAAAATGCATTTAAATATAAATTTTGAAATATATATGCAGTATGTGTGTAAATAAGTTTTGCTGTTACTTGGAAAGAAGCATAAACGTCTGATGAAGAATTACGGACATTGTGTTTTAACAATTTAATAACTTTTTAAACCAAGAGTTCATATAACATTCAATTTACACTTTATACTTAGTACAATAATCTTAGAATGTATAAAAACTGACCAGCTAGTTAGTTACCCACATTTAACTTAAAATTATACAGCTATCTTTAATTAAAAACAACTAATATACATGTATTTTAACGTGTGTGAAGCAACTCATTTTGTTTCCCAAAGGGTCAGACAAAATTACCTTTAATTTTTATAAAGTTTAGGTCTGAAAATGACCATCTCTGACGAGTCGATGACGTCACATGCACTCAGTGTGCACTGTCCCAATTCCGCCTTTTTTGCACACTTGTGACCTGCGCACTCCAACCCTGGTGTGCTCTCGTGGAGTGATTCAAAATGGCCGCGGGGGATGAAAAATGTGAAGAAACACATCTGTGCATGCGTCAGCCGGCGCAGCTCCATTCATTTAAACGAGAGACTTCTAAAGTCCACAGCGACTAAACTAGACTGGTCCAAAATAGGGCTGGGATGACGCACCGACGTGACCAATGACGTCGAGGCAAAAAATACGTCGATACAAAATATGCGACTTATGGCGAAAGCGCAGTTTCCACGCACAGTAGACGCACATTCTGTAAATTACAGAGGCTTGGGGTGTTTAGACCAGTGGTCCTGGGCTAGCGCCGTTTAGCTAGCGCCGTTTAGCTAGCGGCTTTTTGTGTAAAGTTCTACTTCAATACTGCAGCTCTGCAGCGGCTCTGTGTCTGAGACCTTCACAGACTTTATATAACAGCAGTATGTGTTCACGGTGACTTTATATAACAGTAGTATGTGTTCACGGAGGTGACTTTATATAACAGTCTTTATATAACAGCAGTATGTGTTCACGGTGACTTTATATAACAGTAGTATGTGTTCACGGAGGTGTGCCATACGTTTATTTAATTATTAGACGGTACATCCGCATAGGCAAACATGCTAGCTGTGCAACATGCTAGCTTTGCTACATGCTACCTTCGCTACATGCTAGCTGTGCTACATGCTAGCTGTGCTACATGCTAGCTGTGCTACATGCTAGCTGTGCTACATGCTAGCTGTGCTACATGCTAGCTGCGCTACATGCTAGCTATGCTACATGCTAGCTGTGCTACATGCTAGCTGTGCTACATGCTAGCTGTGCTACATGCTAGCTGTGCTACATGCTAGCTGTGCTAGTTCAGTCACAGTAGAATGACAACACGGGCTGTAGAGACAGTTTTCTTGAGGGGAAATGAAAGAGTCTAAGTTGTTATTTGTGAATGAAGATGATTTTTCAGAAAGCTCGGCCGATGTTCAACAGAACTGTTGGATTCTAAATGTTTATTTTCATTAGTTTTTGCTAGAAAAGCACTCTCTTTAGCTTAAAGCCCTGAAGTTTACATTGGTTACTGTATTGTTTTAGTTTCTCTAAACAAGTATTTTGGGTGAACTTTTTTATTTTATTTTATTGAACGCTAAACATCAAGTGTTATTTTCATCTGAAAGAAGAATAAGATGCACTTTTTCAGTGAGCTCGATGTTTTTAAGGTTTCAACGTTTTATGCTAACTCTGACTAATGTCTTATGTAGGAATTTTAGGAGCAATAGTTATATTTTGTTCATGTTTTTTCATTCAGATATGTAAATCAACATGTATACATTGATATTAGTCAATTAATGGGGAGATAATCGAATCAAACCAAACTGAAGAAAATAATCGTTAGATTAATCGTTTAAAAAATAATCGTTTATCCCAGCCCTATTCAAAAACACTCCCTCAGCATTGACACACAACTTTTGGACCATCCTGTAAAGATGTTTTCCAGAGGGAAGAAGATGCTATATGTTAGCATTGGCTAATTCTTCTTCTGGGTCCACCCCCACAGGCCCGGGGTGGTATTGCAGCATGTCAGCGCACGTCATTTTAGCCACTTTTGAGCCAGGACCCGCCCCCACTGGTCTGAATGGCTCCCTGTCTTCCTCAGGGCTGTATATAACATGTGTCTCTCCTGGTGCAGAGTGGAGCACAGTGCCCCCGGTGGAGACCCTGGTCCTGGCCGGTCTGCTTCTAGTCTTGGTCTTGGTCCTGCTCCTGGTCTCTCTGGTGTTGGGGCGACTGTGGCTGCGATCGCGACGCTTCTACCCCACATACGACGCCCAGCTCACTCTGTCCAACATGCACCGGCTGTCCCAGGAGGTGGCCTCCTAATGGGACTGACCCAGGAGGAGGACCAGGAGGAGGACCAGGAGGAGGACCAGGAGGAGGACCAGGAGGAGGACCAGGAGGTGGACCAGGAGGAGGACCAGGAGGAGGACCAGGAGGTGGACCAGGAGGAGGACCAGGAGGTGGACCAGGAGGAGGACCAGGAGGAGGACCAGGAGGAGGACTAAGAAAAGGACCAGATGAAGTGTCCCAGGAGAAGAAATACTTCAGAATCACTGCTAAAAATATAATTTATTTTTGTAATTTTATGTTTTATAATCATCAGTTTAAACGTTTTTTGATTTTGTGAAAATGCAAAAAGACAGAATTGCCCTGTTTTCAGACATTCTTAGGGTCTCTCTTTCTGGTCTCTCTCTGGTCTCACTCTGGTCTCTCTCTCTGGTCTCACTCTGGTCTCACTCTGGTCTCACTCTGGTCTCTCTCTGGTCTCTCTCTCTCCTCTCTCTGGTCTCACTCTGGTCTCTCTCTGGTCTCTCTCTGGTCTCACTCTGGTCTCTCTCTGGTCTCTCTCTGGTCTCACTCTGGTCTCACTCTGGTCTCTCTCTGGTCTTTCTCTGGTCTCTCTCTGGTCTCTCTCTGGTCTCACTCTGGTCTCACTCTGGTCTCTCTTTGGTCTCTCTCTGGTCTCACTCTGGTCTCGCTCTGGTCTCTCTCTCTCTCCCTCTGGTCTCTCTCTGGTCTCTCTCTGGTCTCACTCTGGTCTCTCTCTGGTCTCTCTCTGGTCTCTCTCTCTGGTCTCTCTCTGGTCTCTCTCTGGTCTCTCTCTGGTCTCACTCTGGTCTCTCTCTGGTCTCTCTCTGGTCTCACTCTGGTCTCTCTCTGGTCTCACTCTGGTCTCTCTCTGGTCTCTCTCTGGTCTCTCTCTGGTCTCACTCTGGTCTCACTCTGGTCTCTCTTTGGTCTCTCTCTGGTCTCACTCTGGTCTCACTCTGGTCTCTCTCTGGTCTCTCTCTCTGGTCTCACTCTGGTCTCTCTCTGGTCTCTCTCTGGTCTCTCTCTGGTCTCTCTCTGGTCTCTCTCTGGTCTCTCTCTGGTCTCACTCTGGTCTCTCTCTGGTCTCACTCTGGTCTCTCTCTGGTCTCTCTCTGGATGATGATGATTTTCTGTAATTGCATAATAAAAGTGTTGTTGATTTTAACTTGTGGTTGTGTGATGTTCAGGGAAACTTAAAGCTGAGGTCTGTAACTTCTAAGACAGGTCCCTGTGAGTCACAATCGGCCTCTTTGGGCCGAGACCTGATTGGCCGAGAGAGGGTAATCTCAAGACCAAGACCAAGACCAAGACTTTTGTTGTCTGAAAGTTTCATCCCCCCGTCTCACAGCCTCCCCCCCCCGTTTGGAGACCACTCACATGTGGGTCAATCTGTTTATGTCAAGTCAGGCCACGCGGGGCCTTGTGGGGCGCCCTGCGCTCTAGGGTTTTTCCCATGGGTTATTTTGGGTCCGTACGTCTCTTTGCGTGATGACGTTACGCTCAGATAGAGGTTGCCATATCTGATTGTTTTCATCGCATTCGGGACGTGTGCGTCACTGTACATAGCGTACATGGATCTATTCTCGAGGTCGGACATCCGGGAACTTGGACTCCCATAAAGCCTAGAGTATACTTGCGCGGCGTGGCTTACGTTAAGCCTAGTTTATACTCGCGCGGCGCGGAGCTTACGGAGGTGACGTGACGTCACTTGCGCAACGCGTTGGTCACCGCAAGGCCCTTACGTAGCCTGCCGTGTGTGTGTATTGGAAGGAAGCACGGAGCGGCTGCAGCAGGAGCATGGACGAGGCACTATGGAGCAGAGAGCTTTGTGCTTCAAAGGAAAAGCAGTTTGGGCTCAGAGCCTGATATACAGGAGACTGTGGACTATCTAACATATATATAACATATATCTAACATATATATAACTTATAAACTGTGCAGTCGTTTGTTTTGCACTGTTCCTGTCTTGTTTGAATCGTAGCTGCGTTTGTTGCATTCCTCCTGCACTCGTAAATCGTTCATGTTTGTCTCAGATAGGACCTACGTAAGCACAATTGATGTTATACTGGCGCGTTCCCCTTACGGAGTTTTGAGGAGAATGTTGTAATCCCACAACAAACCACATGAGGGCGATCACACAGGAGCGGTCCCATTTACGCTGCTACTTTGTCCTCTTCAGAACAACAATAGCAAACAAAGCTGTTTGAGTTCATTACACGTGTTTCTACTGTAGGTTTATGTGATAGTTTTATGGATTCATTATTTTATAAGTCATTTCAACTGTTATTCTGTGAATAAAGACACAGTTCTTGTTGGAAACATAGTTATTATTAAATAGTTTTCAGCACAAACAGCAATACAATAATAGTGGTAAATATCTGAGACAAACATGAACGATTTAAAGCGCTTTACATGAGTGTTTACATTCACTCCATACATGTGGTATATACATCATCAGTGACATCAGCTGCAGGCAAGAGAAATAAGATTAAACTAAAACTGGCGATTATAAGTGTAAAACTACAACTGAAAAAGGTGGTCCTGTTGTGGCTTAAGGTGCAAGAACAAGAGGAATGACATTTGCGTTAATAAAATAAGGTTTATCTGATATTTCCAACAACAGTTAGACATTTCTTTATTGTTACTATGACAACAGCTACAATGGAAATAGATAGGAATTTAGATTCCTGCCTCCAGCTAAGCAAGCCCTGAATGTTTACACCACCAACATACATTCGCATACACAGATATCATTCATCAATAATTCAAAGTTGTCCGTTAGTATCCATAACTGACATAATCCACGGCAAAACATTTGTAGATAGATACCTTTTGGATTCGCCTTCGGTTTGTTTTACCCTTCAAACATGGCGGCGGTTGGTTGCTACGCAGGTCACATGATTCGTGACGTAACGCCGACCTCGAGAATAATCCATGTACCCAGAAAAAGTCCATGTAAACTAAAACAGCTCGACCTCAGCTGACAGAGAACCTGAAAGAGAACCTACAGCTTTCATAAAGATCAGATTTTGTGGGGATGTTAGTGTCCCTTGTCATCCTGAACTTTTTTTCTTCTTAAATCCTTCTGTTTTCTTTAAATCCACACTTGACTGCCACAAACTCTGCTCCTTTCCTTCCTGCTCTGACTCCGCCCCTCTGTGCACGTGCATGAAAGCCACACACCCGTATTTGGCGTAAAGCATCATGGGAGGTCTTGGACTGCGCAGAACCGGGAGGACCAGGCGGCACGGTGGCTGAGTGGATAGCACTCTCGCCTCTCAGCAAGAAGGTCCTGGGCTCGAATCCCGGCCGGACCAGGGCCTATCTGAGTGGAGTTTGCATGTTCTCCCTGTGTCTGCATAGGTTTCCTCCGGGTACTCCGGTTTCCCCTACCACTAAAACTATGTAAAATAGGTCTGGCATGCGCCTCCTGTTCGGCGACCCCACTCCCATCTCTGTGTGGAGTGAGAGTGCCCAAAATAACAATTGTAAACCGTTTTGTGACTCTGGTCTGTGAAAGGCGGTATATAAATAAAGCTTACTACTTATGATGCCCAAATATAGGTGAGTTCTGCTAATCTCTCGGTCGTGAAGTGAACTGAGCAAAAGCATGGATCTATAATAACGAGCAGAAGCCATTCATTTGTATAGGGTGCCATCTTGGATCACTGGGGCTTGATAGCGTAACATTAGCATAACATCAAGGCATTTATACAGCCCATCTCATGCTGCACCGAGAGCCAAATCAATATTCTAGTATGAGATTTCATAACACTTTTAAGCAACTTTTGTTAAAGTTAAACTCATCATTCTATCAATGTGCAGAAGCCAGTACTTTTCCTTTGTTTTGTCTATCTGAAGGCCAAGCTACATGGCACTGTGGAAGCTGCTGATTGGAGGTCTCCATGCCTCCGCTCTGTATAATACACTTGAATTCTTGCATCTTCTTCAGGTGGTGGAAGGATACGGGCCTTGTCTGTAACATCTAGAGAACAGAAGACTTTTTTTTTTTTAACACAAAAAAGTGTTTTTTTTTAAGCCAAAACTGAGAAACCTTAAGAGAATGCATCTGGATCAGCACACTTGGACAATCTGCACAGCCCCTGATTCCAGTCAGGCTGTGAGCTGCTGAGACATGGACAACACCAGCGTCCTCTTTTGCATGGACATCATTTGGAACAATCTGGATTTCTGAATTTGGACATAATTTGGACTGAATTGAATTGCTGAATCTGGACACTGAAGCTGAAACGTGTGATTGAAAGACACGTCACAGAAGAATTCATGGCTTGACACAAATGCAGCCTGAAGAAACCAACACGGAGAAGTGGGAGAGACTGTTTTCAAAGCAATATCTGAGAACCATCGACTGATGAAGTTTGGTATTTTACTGAAGATTGTTGACAAGTTTTATGAAAGATCTGAACATGTTTTATGAGTATTCAGAGTTCTGAGTTTTTTGAAGTACCGAGTGAAGTACCGAGTTTAAGTATTGAGTTATGATGTTATGTTGCCGTTTATCGATCCTGATGGTCACACGGGAATGTGTGACCAGAGGGGGGAATATGAGATTTCATAACACTTTGAAGCAACTTTTGTTAAAGTTAAACTCATCATTCTATCAATGTGCAGAAGCCAGTACTTTTCCCTTGTTTTGTCAGTCTGAAGGCCAAGCTACATGGCACCGTGGCAGCTGCTGATTGGAGGTCTCCATGCCTCCGCTCTGTATAATACACTTGCATTCTATTGTTTGTGTTGTTCGTGCTGTCTCTACCATCGACAATAAAACATGTCTTCTGTCTGAATGAAAGACACGATCCCAGACTTTGTCATCTTCTTCACTAGCTTACGACTTCTTTTTACTCACAACTAATTCTGATTCTGAAAAAGTGAAAAAGCTTTCAACACAAAGAGTCTAAAAGTGACTCACAGGGATCTTTCTTACACAAAACATATTGTTATTGCATGTTGTGGCAGTTTTGGTTTTAAAATGTATTCTCATTTTACTTTTACATGTTATTTATGAGACGAAAGTTACAGACCTGAGCTTTAAACATGTGTTATTCAGACTAAAGTTACAGACCTGAGCTTTAAACATGTGTTATTCAGACTAAAGTTACAGACCTGAGCTTTAAACATGTGTTATTCAGACTAAAGTTACAGACCTGAGCTTTAAACATGTGTTATTCAGACTAAAGTTACAGACCTGAGCTTTAAACATGTGTTATTCAGACTAAAGTTACAGACCTGAGCTTTAAACATGTGTTATTTAGACTAAAGTTACAGACCTGAGCTTTAAACATGTGTTATTCAGACTAAAGTTACAGACCTGAGCTTTAAACATGTGTTATTCAGACTAAAGTTACAGACCTGAGCTTTAAACATGTGTTATTCAGACTAAAGTTACAGACCCCAGCTTTAAAGCCTTTGTTTACTGTTTTGAAAGCCAAATGCGTGTTTCCCCCGCAGATCTGGCACCCTGACCCCATAACAGACACGGCTCCTCTCTCTACAGTCACACCGGGAACAGCTCCTCTTCTTTGGGCTTTTAACCGATATTTCAACCCTCCACTGCGGAGGAAAACACGTGTAGCCCCAGCACCCCGCCAGCCCAGGCACCGGGTTGTGTTACACCAGCGGGATCTACCCGAACACCCCGAATATTGAGCTTCTTTCCCGGGTAAGCTTTCCCCGTGTAAACTCTGCAAACATGCTAATGCTAACACCACTTTAGCATGTTGTTGTCTGCCTTTTGTTGACTATAAAAGTTATTTATTCAACTATTTCAACTTTGACCACTTGGGATACAATATAGAATTAGTGTATACAGCCCGTACTCAGTGGTCTTTGAAGGTTAAGTTGTTTAAAGTGTTTTAAAGTGGTGAAACAAGAGTTGTGGCTCTTTGTGTTTTTAGCGGAGCTATGCTAACTATGCTAACTCTACTTACTCAACTGTTCCGTGAGTTTGCACATTTTATACTACTCCCGATTGTCTTTAAACCTGTGAGAACTTCAGCACAACCCGTGTTTCTTTTGTGTTTTGTTTGATCGAAACTTTTACAGCCAATAATGAAACTATTGTTCTAATCTGACCCAATTTACATCACAATACCGCCCACTATTGTACCACTTAAGTCTCATTATAACACATGTTTAAAGCTCAGGTTTGTAACTTTAGTCTAAATAACACATGTTTAAAGCTCAGGTCTGTAACTTTAGTCTGAATAACACATGTTTAAAGCTCAGGTCTGTAACTTTAGTCTAAATAACACATGTTTAAAGCTCAGGTCTGTAACTTTAGTCTGAATAACACATGTTTAAAGCTCAGGTCTGTAACTTTAGTCTGAATAACACATGTTTAAAGCTCAGGTCTGTAACTTTAGTCTGAATAACACATGTTTAAAGCTCAGGTCTGTAACTTTAGTCTGAATAACACATGTTTAAAGCTCAGGTCTGTAACTTTAGTCTAAATAACACATGTTTAAAGCTCAGGTCTGTAACTTTAGTCTAAATAACACATGTTTAAAGCTCAGGTCTGTAACTTTAGTCTGAATAACACATGTTTAAAGCTCAGGTCTGTAACTTTAGTCTGAATAACACATGTTTAAAGCTCAGGTCTGTAACTTTAGTCTGAATAACACATGTTTAAAGCTCAGGTCTGTAACTTTAGTCTGAATAACACATGTTTAAAGCTCAGGTCTGTAACTTTAGTCTGAATAATGAACATGTTGTTTGACCAGAGACAGACCTCTCTCTCTGGTCTCTGTGTGATTTGCTAATTGACCTGTTGTTTTCTCACATTCTTCAGTGGTCGCATGAGGAGTGTTGAAATCACGTCTGAGGCTTTTTAAGCACAGCACAAACATGAGTCAGCTTTAAATACAAATCTGACCCCAGACCATTACTGACCGCACTGAGAGCATTTCAAAACAACAAGAGGGACCTACCAGGAACATGTCTGTGTGTCTGCTCTCTCTCTCTCTCTGGTTTTTCTCTCTCTGGTCTTTTTCCTCACTAGTCTCTCTCTCCGGTCTCTCTTTCTCTCGTTGGTCCCTCTCCTCTGTCCCCCCTGACCTCTCTCTCTCTCCTCAGACTCCCCTGACTCCCCCCTCAGCCCTGGGCCCCCTGCTCCTCCCCCCGACCATGGCGGACGAGCCCCCCCTCCATCCGCACTGCCTGCACTGTGTGAACCGGCGGTGCATGGTGCGGCCGGAGCCTGGCGTGGCGTGCGACCTGGTGGGATGTCCTGCCGTGTGCGGAGCTGTCTTCCACAGCTGCAAACTGAGCGAGCACCGACTGCTCTGCCCCTACGAGCGCCTGGCCTGCATCAACGCCGGCTTCGGCTGCCCCTTCACCATCACCAGATCCAAGATGGCTGCCCATCTGCAGGTCTGTCCGGCCAGCATCGTCTGCTGCACCATGGAGTGGAACAGGTGAGAAACCAGAGAGCGGAGAGAGGGAGACCAGAGAGCGAGAGAGGGAGACCAGAGAGCGAGAGAGGGAGACCAGAGAGGGAGACCAGAGAGCGAGAGAGGGAGACCAGAGAGCGAGAGAGGGAGACCAGAGAGCGAGAGAGGGAGACCAGAGAGCGAGAGAGGGAGACCAGAGAGCGAGAGAGGGAGACCAGAGAGCGAGAGAGGGAGACCAGAGAGCGAGAGAGGGAGACCAGAGAGCGAGAGAGGGAGACCAGAGAGGGAGACCAGAGAGCGAGCGAGAGAGGGAGACCAGAGAGCGAGCGAGAGAGGGAGACCAGAGAGCGAGCGAGAGAGGGAGAGGGAGAGGGAGACCAGAGAGGGAGACCAGAGAGGGAGACCAGAGAGGGAGACCAGAGAGGGAGACCAGACCAGAGAGGGAGACCAGAGAGGGAGACCAGAGAGGGAGAGACCAGAGAGGGAGACCAGAGAGGGAGACCAGAGAGGGAGACCAGAGAGGGAGACCAGAGAGGGAGACCAGAGAGGGAGACCAGAGAGGGAGACCAGAGAGGGACAGACCAGAGAGGGAGACCAGAGAGGGAGACCAGAGAGGGAGACCAGAGAGGGAGACCAGAGAGGGAGACCAGAGAGGGAGACCAGAGAGCGAGAGAGGGAGACCAGAGAGCGAGCGAGAGAGGGAGACCAGAGAGCGAGCGAGAGAGGGAGACCAGAGAGCGAGCGAGAGAGGGAGACCAGAGAGCGAGCGAGAGAGGGAGACCAGAGAGCGAGCGAGAGAGGGAGACCAGAGAGCGAGCGAGAGAGGGAGACCAGAAAGGGAGACCAGAGAGCGAGCGAGAGAGGGAGACCAGAGAGCGAGAGAGGGAGACCAGAGAGGGAGACCAGAGAGGGAGACCAGAGAGGGAGACCAGAGAGGGAGACCAGAGAGGGAGACCAGAGAGGGAGACCAGAGAGGGAGACCAGAGAGGGAGACCAGAGAGGGAGACCAGAGAGGGAGACTCTCTCGTTGCTGTGCATCACTAACTCTCTGGTTGCTATGCGTCGCTAACTCTCTGGTTGCTATGCGTCGCTAACTCTCTGATTGCTATGCGTCGCTAACTCTCTGATTGCTATGCGTAGCTAACTCTCTGGTTGCTATGCGTTGCTAGGTGGCCCGTCAGTTATGCAGACCGTAAGTCGTACGAGTCTCTGAGCAGAGACCTGCAGCAGGTGGAGCAGCTGGACATGGCTCTGGCTCTGCAGGACCAGAGGATGCTGCTGGAGTCGCTCAGAGCCACCTCTGTGTCACAGAAAGACGCACAGGGCGCGGCTGGCGCCACAGAGAAGGACGAACCCTACGACGTCTACAACACATCTGTACAGACCAGCGACTTCTACAACCCTTCTGTACAAACCAGCGACATCTACAACACATCTGTCCAGACCAGCAGAAGTCTGGCAGCTGCTCTGGACATCCTGACCAGCTCAAAGGTCAGCTCAAACTGAATCATGTTTCTAAACATAGATAATTATCTATGTTCTTTTTCTTCCATCCTGACCACCAGAGGGAGCTGCCTAGCAATTCATGTTCCCTTCGCGCATGCACAGTTTGAGTTTTAATACCATATGATTCACCTTTGACCCCTGGTGGAGCTGCTGTTTCACCAGTCCATCACACATGCAGTCCATCAGAATCAGAATCAGAATCATTTTTATTGCCACGTAAGTAACAGGAGGTCACAGACTAGGAAATTGCTTTGGCTCAGTGCAACAGTCAGAGAGAGATAAAAAAAATAAAGAATAATAAACACTTCTAAGGAATAAATGTAAATTTAAAATAGAGTTACAGTTACTATTTACAATATACAAGTGCACATGGTGCACACAGTGTAAGGTGACAGCAGTACAGTGAAGTAAAGTGACGTATGATGGGCAGTAAAGTGACTTTATAAAGGGCGGGGACAGGTTAAGAAGTGTTCAAGAGTCCAACAGCAGAGGGGAAGAAACTGTTCTTGTGGCGGGAGGTTCTAGTCCTGATGGACCGCAGCCTCCTGCCTGAGGGGAGTGGTTGGAATAGTCCATGTGCAGGGTGAGAGGGGTCGGCTGTGATACGACCAGCCCGGCCTCGAGCTCGGGCGACGTACAGGTCCTGCAGCGATGGAAGGCTGCGGCCGATCACTTCCTCTGCAGAGCGCACAATGCGCTGTAGTCTCTGTTTGTCCCTGACTGTGGCTCCAGCAAACCACACGGTGATGGAGGAGGTGCTGGAGGAGGTGCTGGAGGAGGTGATGGAGGAGGTGATGGAGGAGGTGATGAGGAGGTGATGGAGGAAGTGATGGAGGAGGTGATGGAGGAGGAGATGGAGGAGGTGACGGAGGAGGTGACGGAGGAGGTGATGGAGGAGGTGACGGAGGAGGTGACGGAGGAGGTGACGGAGGAGGTGATGGAGGAGGTGACGGAGGAGGTGACGGAGGAGGTGACGGAGGAGGTGACGGAGGAGGTGATGGAGGAGGTGATGATGGACTCGATGATGGCCGTGTAGAACCACCTGCAGGTGGAATCGGGCACGTTGAGCTGGGAGAGCTTGTCCTGGAGCAGGGATGGCAGGATTGTGTTGTCCACGAACAGGACCCTGGCGTAGGTCCCCGGGGAGTCCAGGTGCTGTAGGATGTGGTGGAGGGCCAGGTTAATGGCGTCGTCTACAGATCTGTTGGCTCTGTAGGCAAACTGCAGGGGGTCCAGGAGGGGGGAGGTGAGGGACTTGAGATGGGAGAGGACCAGGCGTTCAAATGACTTCATGACGACAGACGTAAGTGCTACAGGTCTGTAGTCGTTGAGTCCTGTGATCCTGGGCTTCTTCGGGACGGGGACAATGATGGAGGATTTGAAGCAGGCCGGGACATGGCAGGACTGCAGAGAGGTGTTGAAAATGTCCGTGAACACAGGAGTAAGCTCACTGGCGCAGTGTCTCAGAGTGGCCGGAGACACGTGATCCGGGCCAGGAGCTTTGCGGGGGTGCAGCCTCAAGAAGAGTTGTTTAGTCTCTTTAGAGGCTATTGTCAGGCTGGGGGCAGGGCTGATGGGTGGGTCGTTAGAGTAGTGGGGGAGGGAGAGGTGTCAGGGGCAGCATCAAAGCGACTGAAAAATAAGTTCAGTTCGTCAGCTAGCTTGTGGTCGTCAGCACAGGGGGGGGCTTTGGGTTTGTAGTTGGTGATCTCCCGTAGGCCCCTCCAGACAGAAGCAGTATCATTGTTACCAAACTGCTCCTGTAGTCGTTCTCTGTGCCGGGACTTGGCTGCTTTCAGTTCTTTCCTGAACTGATATTTAGCTGCTTTGTAGCCGCTGCGGTCCCCCTCCCTGAAAGCAGACTCCTTTGCTTTCCTGAGCTGCCGGAGTTTAGCAGTGAACCAGGGTTTGTCGTTGTTATAGATGACCCTGGTCCTTGTTGGAATGATGCTATCCTCACAGAAGTGAATGTATGACGTCACAGTGTCCGTATATTCATCCAAACTATCTGTGGCAGCTCTGAAAAGGTCCCAGTCTGTAGATTCCATGCATGCGCGCAGCTCTTCCACAGCTTCATCAGACCACACTTTGGAGCTCCTCACTGCAGGTTTCGAGAGCTTTAGTCTCTGTCTGTAAGCAGGAACCAGATGTATCATGGAGTGATCTGAGAAGCCGAGGGCTGGCTTGGGAACAGCGTGAAAAGCTCCGCGCACAGGATGGACTCGATGATGGCCGTGTAGAACTGTTATGTAGGTCCGACTGTGGTTACGTAGGTCCGACTGTGGTTACGTAGGTGTAGGTCCGACTGTGTTTACGTAGGTGTAGGTCCGACTGTGTTTACGTAGGTGTAGGTCCGACTGTGTTTACGTAGGTGTAGGTCCGACTGTGGTGACGTAGGTCCGACTGTGGTGACGTAGGTCCGACTGTGGTGACGTAGGTCCGACTGTGGTGACGTAGGTCCGACTGTTCAGATTCAGTTTATTTGCCATTTGCAGTAAAACCACATTGGAATACATTAGCAAAAGTCTCCAGTGTGCACAGACAAATACAGACATAAAACGACATTAAAAGACAGAAATAAAGGACTTCCGCTTACGTCATGGCCTAGAGCGGCACGCTTTCCCTCGGCTCCAACAGGCCTTATCAAAAATACACGAAATCTTTCACACATGATAAATGTGATAAATGAACACTCGACTGTGTGAGAAAGAAGCATTAGTGAACATGTCCAACCCGAAACCACAAAGAAAAGACCCGAAAGGGTTCAAAAACGATGAAACCAAGGTAGGCCAGAAGCAGCTAACGCTAACAGAAGCTATGGCTAACGATGCTACACAAACCCCATTGAAACCAACGGAGGAAGCAAGCACTGAGAATGTTGTGCTAGCCGAGCTGCGGAAGCTAAGACAAGAAAATGCGTCTTCATTTCGAGAGTTAAAAGATTCATCTAACAGGCTGGAGACTAAACTGGAGGAACTGCACCAGAAGACGGAGAGTCTTGAGGGAAGAGTGATGGAAACGGAGAACAGAGTGAGTGATGTAGAAGACGAACAAGCGAAACACAAGAGAATGCTAAGTTACTTGCTACGCAGAGAGACTGAGCTAGCTAACAAATGTGATGACATCGAGAATCGGATTCGCCGCAATAACATACAAATCTACGGGATCCCAGAGCTAGCTGAGAAAGATGACATGGTGACTTTTGTGACAGACTTCCTGAGAAGTGCTCTAAAGTTAGAGGATGGGAATGACATCAAGCTGGAAAGAGCGCACCGAGCCCTCGGACAGAGACCCGGAGCTGCGGCTCCACCGCGGTCAATCATAGTACGTTTTCTGGACTTTCGGGCGAAACAAGCGGTGTTGCTACAGGCATGGAAACAACGTGATATCCAGTACACGGGCAACAAAGTCTACTTTGACCAAGACTACTCATCTGACGTGCAAAGAAAGAGGAAGAGAGTCAGAGACGTGTTAAAGAAGCTACGAGAATGTATCATCAAAGCACAGTCGCCGTATCCTGCCCAGCTGAGAATATTTCTGGCATCAGGCACCAAAGTTTTCCCCTCGCTGCTGGAGGCACGTTCTACACTGGAGGAGCTCGGAGTGACAGTGGACATAGATGACAGAGAGGCGCTGGAAATGGAACTGGCACAAAACTCTTGGACATCACAACCCGGTGAGAAGAGGAGGGGCCAGCACCAACTGAAAGCATCGGAGATAAGCTTTATTCAATGGGACTGATTTGTGGGTAAATATAATAGCTTTTGAGTGATTGAAGGGGTTTAGACACGAGGATAAACAGTGTTTGGTCAAGCTACAGAACTTTGAAACAACAAATGTGATATGAACGAGATAAAATCTATAATAACAGAAATTATTAATAACAATAAATGAAAAGGGGTACAAACAATTATGGTAGCATAAAATATATGTAAAGGAATTCATAAGAATGGAAATAAATATACAATAATAGTTATACAGCAGTTAGAATAATTAAGAATAAAGATTTCGACTCATCAAGCAAATTATTCTGGATTGGGTCTATGGGGTCGAGGGGTAAGCATTTTACAACTATGAAAGCTTGGCCTTTACGGCGATCTAAGCATAATCACAGGATCTCCTGGGAGAAGTGCAAAACACCCAGAGAGCGGCTACTCTCTGCCCAAAGGACAATGGGAGTGGCATGATTATCATCTACTTATTTTGATACTTGAGAATTATGCCACTGGAATTCTTGGAGGTCTGTTTCAATGTTTTACGTTATGAAAATTATTTGTTACATGGTGTAACCGGTTGGTTTTGTTCTTTGGCTCTCAAGCAACGCACCGGCTTAAGACTATGTTCTCTCTATTTTACAAATGAACAAACTAAATGTTATAAGTTATAATATAAACGGTATCAACCATCCCATAAAGAGGAAAAAGATTTTATCCCAATTAAAAAAACTGCACTGCTCCAAGAGACGCACCTTAATGAAGAACATTTAAAACTACGGAGAGAGTGGGTGGGACAAGTTTTCGGTTCAGCATATAAGGAGGGTAAAAAAAGAGGTGTAGCAATTCTGTTACATCGAGCTTTGGATTTCATTTTCGAAAAGACTCACAGTGATAAGAATGGACTTTATATTCTCCTGGTCGGCAAGATAGGGAATATCCAAATATGGATCCTGAACATATGCACCCAATACTGATGAACCCTCCTTTTTTAAAGGGATATCAGATGTTTTATCTTCACATGCAGTAGGATTTTTGATCGTGGGAGGAGATTGTATTTTGGATCGGAAATTTGACCTATGTCCAAGGACAAACGACAAGAAAATCCAAAGTATTACAGATTATGATGGATCAAATGGGTTTGGTGGACATATGGCGCCATATACATCCCAGAGAGTGTGACTACACTTTTTTTTCTAAGGTTCATAAGAGGTATTCTAGAAAAGACATGTTTTGTGTGCCAAAGAAAGATGCATACAAAGTTGTAAACTGTCACATAGAATCAATAACCATTTCAGACCATGCCCCAGTAGTCCTTCAATTGAAGTTGGATGACAATACTGGTCCAAAACAATGGAGACTGAACGTGTCCCTCCTAAATGATACTAAAGTGATACAATATTTAAAGCAAGAATTGAATGAATATATAGAAAATAACGACAATGGTGACATATCGACGTCCACTCTCTGGGATGCAGCAGAAGCTGTATTACGAGGCAGACTCATCGCACTCTCATCTAAAATGAAAAAAGAGAAAAAAGAGAAAAAGAACAGGAAAGACTGGAGAGAAAGATTCTTGATTTAGAAAAGGAACATAAAAAAACAAACAGGGATGACACATTAAATTCTTTGCAACAACAGAGACAAACACTCAATGATTTATTAACATATAAAGCTGAAGGTTCTTTGAGATTTGCTAACCAAAAATATGATGAGTCAGGAAACCGAGCTAGTAGACTGTTGGCATTCCAACTACGGAAAGCCCAAGCTAATCGTACAATAGCAAAGATTATAAATCCTGTCTCTAGGAAAGTAATGTCTCATCCTAAAGATATAGCAGACGCCTTCTCTATGTATTACAGAACGCTTTACAGTTCTCCTGATGTTCCAGAGAAAGAAGGAAGAAGTTTTTTGAAAAAATAAAACTTACAAAACTTACAAATTCTCAATCTGATGCATTGATTAAACCAATCTCCAGGAAAGAAATTGATGAAGTAATAAAAAACTTAAAATCTAATAAATCCCCTGGCGTCGACTCCCTGGGGAGTTTTACAAGTGTCTTATGATCTTGTCCCAATATTGCAGCGAGTGTTTAACTATGCATTGATGTCAAACGACCCACCTAAATCTTGGGCTCAAGCAACAATTTCAGTGATTCACAAAGAAGGGAAAGACCCTATAAACTGCTCTTCGTACAGGCCGATAAGCTTATTATGCAGTGATTTAAAAATATTGTCTTCCATATTAGCCAAAAGAATCCAAATGCATATTAACTTTCTGATAGGAACAGACCAAACTGGATTCATTCCAGGTCGATCAGGGAACAAATTAGGGCTGAAACAACTAATCGATTAATCGACAACTAATCGATTATTGAAATAGTCGACAACTATTTTAGTAATCGATTAATCGTTTTCTGGTTCACACGGACTCAAACAGAGCAAAAATGACATGAAAATGTAGTACTTTTGATTAAAACCGACTTTTTTTTTATAATTTCATGAATATCTGTCTGTCTCATCCAATCAGAGCAGAATTAGCACAAAGAGCCTGTTACAAACATTTACTTTAAGTTTATGCCATCAATACGTCCTCGAGTGTTGCCATTTTAGCTTTTTGTGATGAAAAAATATTTTTTTTCTACACAATTCACAGCCCAGCGATTACTCGATTAATCGTAAAAATAATTGATAGATTAATCGATTACAAAATAATCGTTAGTTGCAGCTCTAGAACAAATAACATAAGAAGGACATTGAATATTATGACATTTGCCAAATTAAGTCGTGAACCCTCAATGCTTCTCAGCCTAGATGCTGAGAAAGCATTTGATAGGGTCGATTGGATGTATTTAGAACACTCGCTGACGGACATTAGTCTGTCCGTCCGGAGGAGCGGATCCCTTTCTCATATGGGTCTCCCTCCCTGTGGGTTTCCCTAGTTCTCCTCCAAGGTTTCTCACTTTTTCCCACTGGGTTTTTTAAGAGTTTTTCCTTGTCGATGCAGGAGGGTCTTGTTGGACAGTTAGTGTCCAACAGAAAGGATTGGTGATGATCAGGACACTTTAGCATTCTACAACATGTATGGACATTTTCTTCTGTGTGTGCTTTATACTGTATTCTTCATGTGTTTTAACTGTTGATTCTCTGACCTGTGTTGGTGATTTCAATGGTTTTGTTAAGTCCTCTGAGATGACTTCTGTTGTGACCTAGGGCTATACAAGAATAAATTGTATTGTATTGTGTATTGTACTCGCTAGAAAAAATGGGGTTTCATTCTAATTTTGTTAAGTGGATTAAAGTGTTATACCTGAATCCTACTTCAAAAGTGAAAGTAAACCGATGTACCTCAGTAAAATTTGAACTAGAACGCGGGACTAGACAGGGCTGCCCGCTGAGCCCCCTGCTGTTTGCTCTGAGTATAGAACCCTTAGCAGAAATAATTAGAGAAAATCATAAAATACGAGGAGTAACTGTAGGGGGAAAAGAATATAAATTGTCACTGTACGCAGATAAAATCATTATGTATATCACCCAACCACTGATAACTGGCCCTGAACTTTTAAACTCTCTGAAAGAGTTCTGGCAAATATCTGGGTACAAAATGAATGAGTCAAAATCACAGGCTATGATGATGGTGGGCGAAAGACCCAAAGAGTTAGATAAAATAGTAACATTTAATTGGCCTACACAAGGTTTTAAATATCTAGGAGTTATGATCACTCCGAATTTCTTTCAATTGTACAATGAGAATTATGGTAATTTACTTTCAAAAATTAAGTCAGATCTGGAAAGATGGGATATTCTACCACTCACTATCTTCGGCAGGATTGAATTTGTGAAAATGAACATTTTACGTCTTTTGTATTTATTTCAGGCCCTCCCTGTGTGGATACCCGCATCCATATTTAAATCCATAGATAAAATGATTTTTAAATTCGTATGGAAAGGAAAAAAACCCAGAATTTGCAAAAAACTCTTGACTAGTCTAAAATTTAAAGGAGGTTTAGGACTGCCAAATGTTAAGTTCTACTATTGGGCCGCACAAATGCGAGGTTTGGTGGATTGGGTTGTTCAAGATGCGGAAAACAATTGGATTGAATTAGAAAATTGTGCGTCCCAACCAGTTCCACTGGAAACGGCCCCTTTTTTGGAACAAAAAAAGTGGAGATTTTTCCAAATAAAAAATCAATGGATTCAGTGTACACATCGTGTCTGGCGTACCGTGAGAAAGACATTGAATTTACCTCTCGCAAATTCACGGGTGTCACGGATTGCAAAACTTATTGACTTTGACTTTGAACCAAATAAAAAGGTTTCTCAAGCTGGGTACAAAAAGGTTTAGTAATTTTACACCAATTATTTGACAAAGATATTTTGAAATCATTTCAACAATTATAAGATAAGTTTGGTTTGTCATCTAGGGAATTTTACCATTATTTACAACTAAGAAGTTATATACAAACAGAACATCGATATGAGGAATTAAAAAGGTTGCCATCTCCGATAGAACTATATCTAATTAAGATCATAGAAGGAAAATGTAAAACTAAACTTGTATCCAAATTGTATTGTCTGTTGCAATCAGATCTGTCAGATAACTCATTTGATATAAAAGGAAAATGGGAGCTAGAAGCAAATATAATTATCGAAGATGTAGATCGGATTCAGGCTTGTGAGAATGTACATAAAATAACTAAAAGTCTGGTTTGGAAGGAATTTGGTTGGAAAGTCATGATGCGCTTTTTTAGAACCCCCTCGGTGACATCCAACTTCAGTGGCATTGGCTCTTTGGAGATCATACGCATACTTTTTGGGACTGTCCTTCCCTGAGTATGTATTGGAACGGTATTCTATCGGAGATTGGAACTATATTTGGGAGAAAAATGTTTAAAGATGCCACACATGGTTTCCTGGCAACATTTAAGGGGCATGGACTAGAAAAGTACAAGACCAGACTTATTCAGATCCTTTTACTGGTTGCAAGGAAAACAATAACAAAGTCCTGGTTAAAGGCTCCACCTCCAACTATTGTTCAGTGGCAAGAAAACCTGAAAAGAGTATGTATAATGGAGAAAATAACAGCTTTAGATAAGTTTAACAACATGTGGGTTCCTGTAGTCAAACATTTTAGATGGTCAAGCAGCTAACAGTAGAAGGATGTGGATATACCGCTTGGACTATTTTTGTTTTGTTTATTCTGCATAGAGATCCTCTTATGGGATTTAATTTGTAAACTATTTCATTGTTTTATTATATCTATTTATTTCTCATATAACACTTCATATTGAAAGCATATCTGTTTTATACTGTAAAAATGTGAATTTGCTGAGATGCCAACTGTTCTGTACGTTGTTATTTATGTATATTGTAAGTTGAACAATTTGAAATAAAATATGTTCAAAAAAATAAAAAAATAAAGAAAAAAAGACAGAAATAAAACAAATAAAACAGTAAACAAATGTCACTGTGAAATGGATTGACTAAAACAGTTTCAAAACAAGTGCAAATCATTAAAGTGCTCTGTTCAGACTGATAACAGCTTGTGGATAAAAACTGTTGAGCGTAACGAGATGTCCTGCATCTCAGAGAGCGATATCTTCTGCCAGAGGGAAGAAGCTGGAACATGCTGGTCTCTCTCTCTGGTCTCTCTCTGGTCTCTTGCTGGTGTCTCTCTGGTCTCTCTCTCTGGTCTCTTGCTGGTGTCTCTCTGGTCACTAGAATGTGCTGTATAAATACACTTGTCTTACAGGATGCTGGTGCTGTGTGGTCTCTGGATGTTGTTCTACATTGTTCCCGTCGGTGAAACTATTGCTGCACATGGTTAATCTGTCTGAATGTCATGAGTTTGAATCCGATTTGTTTTCCACAGGGTTATGGACAAGGTGGGTTGTTTTAGGCTCAGGGGAGGACACCCCCTGGTCTCTCTCTCTGGTCTCCCTCTGATCTCTCTCTGGTCTCTTGCTGGTCATTCTGTGGTCTCTTGCTGGTCTCTCTCTGGTCTCTTGCTGGTTTACCTCTGGTCTCTTGCTGGTTTACCTCTGGTCTCTTGCTGGTGTCTCTCTGGTCTCTTGCTGGTCTCTCTGGTCTCTTGCTGGTTTACCTCTGGTCTCTTGCTGGTGTCTCTCTGGTCTCTTGCTGGTCTCTCTGGTCTCTTGCTGGTTTACCTCTGGTCTCTTGCTGGTGTCTCTCTGGTCTCTTGCTGGTCATTCTGTGGTCTCTTGCTGGTCTCTCTCTGGTCTCTTGCTGGTCTCTCTCTGGTCTCTTGCTGGTTTACCTCTGGTCTCTTGCTGGTTTACCTCTGGTCTCTTGCTGGTCTCTCTCTGGTCTCTTGCTGGTCTCTTGCTGGTCTCTCTCTGGTCTCTTGCTGGTCTCTCTCTGGTCTCTCTCTGGTCTCTCTGGTCTCTCTCTGGTCTCTCTCTGGTCTCTCTCTGGTCTCTCTCTGGTCTCTCTCTGGTCTCTCTCTGGTCTCTCTCTGGTCTCTCTCTGGTCTCTCTCTCTGGTCTCTCTCTGGTCTCTCTCTGGTCTCTCTCTGGTCTCTCTCTGGTCTCTCTCTCTGGTCTCTCTCTGGTCTCTCTCTGGTCTCTCTCTGGTCTCTCTCTGGTCTCTCTCTGGTCTCTCTCTGGTCTCTCTCTCTGGTCTCTCTCTGGTCTCTCTCTGGTCTCTCTCTGGTCTCTCTCTGGTCTCTCTCTGGTCTCTCTCTGGTCTCTCTCTGGTCTCTCTCTGGTCTCTCTCTGGTCTCTCTCTGGTCTCTCTCTCTGGTCTCTCTCTGGTCTCTCTCTGGTCTCTTCTGTGGTCTCTTGCTGGTCTCTCTCTGGTCTCTCTCTGGTCTCTTGCTGGTCTTCTGTGGTCTCTTGCTGGTCTCTCTCTGGTCTCTTGCTGGTCTCTCTCTGGTGTCTCTGCTGGTTTACCTCTGGTCTCTTGCTGGTCTACTCTCTGGTCTCTTGCTGGTCTCTCTCTGGTCTCTTGCTGGTCTCTCTCTGGTCTCTTGCTGGTTTACCTCTGGTCTCTTGCTGGTCATTCTGTGGTCTCTCTCTGGTCTCTTGCTGGTCATTCTGTGGTCTCTTGCTGGTTTCTCCTCTGGTCTCTTGCTGGTCTCTCTCTGGTCTCTTGCTGGTCTCTCTCTGGTCTCTCTGCTGGTCTCTCTGGTCTCTCTGCTGGTCTCTCTCTGGTCTCTCTCTGGTCTCTTGCTGCTCTCTCTCTGGTCTCTTGCTGCTCTCTCTCTGGGTCTCTCTGCTGGTCTCTCTCTGGTCTCTTGCTGGTCTCCTCTCTGGTCTCTTGCTGGTCTCTCTCTGGTCTCTTGCTGGTCTCTCTCTGGTCTCTTGCTGGTCTCTCTCTGGTCTCTTGCTGGTCTCTCTCTGGTCTATTGCTGGTCCCTCTCTGGTCTCTTGCTGGTCTCTCTCTGGTCTCTTGCTGGTCTCTCTCTGGTCTCTTGCTGGTCTCTCTCTGGCCTCTTGCTGGTCTCTCTCTGGTCTCTTGCTGGTCATTATCTGGTCTCTTGCTGGTCTCTCTCTGGTCTCTTGCTGGTCTCTCTCTGGTCTCTTGCTGGTCTCTCTCTGGTTTCTTGCTGGTCTCTCTGGTCTATTGCTGGTCTCTCTCTGGTCTCTTGCTGGTCTCTCTCTGGTCTCTTGCTGGTCTCTCTCTGGCCTCTTGCTGGTCTCTCTCTGGTCTCTTGCTGGTCATTCTGTGGCCTCTCTCTGGTCTCTCTCTGGTCTCTTGCTGGTCTCTCTCTGGTCTCTTGCTGGTCATTCTGTGGTCTCTTGCTGGTCTCGCTCTGGTCTCTTGCTGGTCTCTCTCTGGTCTCTTGCTGGTCATTCTCTGGTCTATTGCTGGTCTCTCTCTGGTCTCTCGCTGGTCTCTCTCTGGTCTCTTGCTGGTCTTTCTCTGGTCTCTCTGGTCTCTTGCTGGTCTCTCTCTGGTCTCTTGCTGGTCATTCTGTGGTCTCTTGCTGGTCTCTCTCTGGTCTCTTGCTGGTCATTCTGTGGTCTCTTGCTGGTCTCTCTCTGGTCTCTTGCTGGTCTCTCTCTGGTTTCTTGCTGGTCTCTCTCTGGTCTATTGCTGGTCTCTCTCTGGTATCTTGCTGGTCTCTTGCTGGTTTCTCTCTGGTTTCTTGCTGGTCTCTCTCTGGTCTCTTGCTGGTCTCTCTCTGGTCTCTTGCTGGTCTCTCTCTGGTCTCTTGCTGGTCTCTCTCTGGTCTCTTGCTGGTCATTCTGTGGTCTCTTGCTGGTCTCTCTCTGGTCTCTTGGTGGTCTCTCTCTGGTCTCGCTCTGGTCTCTTGCTGGTCATTCTGTGGTCTCTTGCTGGTCTCTCTCTGGTCTCTTGCTGGTCTCTCTCTTGTCTCTTGCTGGTCATTCTGTGGTCTCTTGCTGGTCTCTCTTTGGTCTCTTGCTGGTCTCTCTCTGGTCTCTTGCTGGTTTACCTCTGGTCTCTTGCTGGTGTGTCTCTGGTCTCTCTCTGGTCTCTTGCTGGTCTCTCTCTGGTCTCTCTCTGGTCTCTTGCTGGTTTCTCTCTGGTCTCTTGCTGGTGTGTCTCTGGTCTCTCTCTGGTCTCTTGCTGGTCTCTCTCTGGTCTCTCTCTGGTCTCTCTCTGGTCTCTTGCTCGTCTCTCTCTGGTATCTTGCTGGTGTCTCTCTGGTCTCTCTCTGGTCTCTCTCTGGTCTCTTGCTGGTCTCTTGCTGGTCTCTCTCTGGTCTCTCTCTGGTCTCTCTCTGGTCTCTTGCTGGTCTCTCTCTGGTCTCTTGCTGGTCTCTCTCTGGTCTCTTGCTGGTCATTCTGTGGTCTCTTGCTGGTCTCTCTCTGGTCTCTTGCTGGTCTCTCTCTGATGTGTGTCTGTAAAACCAGAGAACTCGCATCAGATGCATTACATGGTGCTGGAGGTGGAGGAGGGAGTGCTTCGTCACATCACAGAGAAACTGCTCAATCAGGACTATCATCATGACAGCTTCACCCTCACAAACATCACCATGACGACAGGTACCCGGGCCAAAGTTACAGACCCAGCTTTAAAGTTTGTAGATCACATCTAAGATAAAACTTGAATTTTGTCCTCCGCTTGATCTGTTTAAACCAGAGTGCGACGTGGACCCGGTCCAGGACCAGAGGACCTGTCACTGTAGAGAGGGGTTTGAGTGGAGTCCTGCCTCCTGCTCTGAGACCAAGTGCTGCAGGAACCAGATCTGCAAGAACCCACTGTACCACTGCAGCTCCAAGCAGACAGGTGAGACCAGGCCGAGACCGAGACCAGGCTCTCTCTGGTCTCTCTCTCTGGTCTCTCTCTGGTCTCTCTATGGTCTCTCTCTCTGGTCTCTCTCTGGTCTCTCTCTCTGGTGTCTCTCTCTGGTCTCTCTCTCTGGTCTCTCTCTCTGGTCTCTCTCTCTGGTCTCTCTCTCTGGTCTCTCTCTCTGGTCTCTCTCTCTCTCTCTGGTCTCTCTCTGGTCTCTCTCTGGTCTCTCTCTGGTGTCTCTCTCTGGTCTCTCTCTGGTCTCATGTCTTGTTCTCGTTGCAGTCCTCTTAAAAGGATCCCTGAGTCTGGATATTTTGTATCAGGGCTGTTTGGACGACGTCAAGACCGAACCCTACCAATCATGTCATGGAAATCTGACTAAAAAGGTGAAACTGCACTGGGTCTAAAACGGGACTAAAGCAGGTCTAAAGCAGGTCTAACGCAGGACTAAAGCAGGACTAAAGCAGGTCTAACGCAGGACTAAAGCAGGACTAAAGCAGGACTAAAGCAGGACTAAAGCAGGTCTAAAGCAGGACTAAAGCAGGACTAAAGCAAGACTAAAGCAGGACTAAAGCAGGACTAAAGCAGGTCTAAAGCAGGACTAAAGCAGGTCTAAAGCAGGACTAAAGCAGGTCTAAAGCAGGACTAAATCAGGTCTAAAGCAGGACTAAAGCAGGAATAAAATAGGACTAAAGCAGGTCTAAAGCAGGACTAAAACAGGAATAAAATAGGACTAAAGCAGGACTCGATCCAGGACTGAGGCTTAACTTCTTTGTGTTTTCAGATGGAGTCCGTCTTCAGTCTTTTTCATGGATTTGACAGTTTACGAATCACTGCCTACAGGTGCAGAATCTTTTCTCTTCAATTTCAGGTTCCACCAGGACTAAGGCAGGGTCTCTCTCTCTGGTCTCTCTCTGGTCTCTCTCTCTGGTCTCTCTCTCTGGTCTCTCTCTGGTCTCTCTATCTGGTCTCTCTCTTTGGTCTCTCTCTGGTCTCTTTCTGGTCTTTCTCTGGTCTCTCTCTGGTCTCTCTTTCTGGTCTCTCTCTCTGGTCTCTCTCTGGTCTCTCTCTCTTTGGTCTCTCTCTCTGGTCTCTTTCTGGTCTCTCTCTGGTCTCTATCTGGTCTCTCTCTGGTCTCTCTCTGGTCTCTCTATCTGGTCTCTCTCTTTGGTCTCTCTCTGGTCTCTTTCTGGTCTTTCTCTGGTCTCTCTCTGGTCTCTCTTTCTGGTCTCTCTCTCTGGTCTCTCTCTGGTCTCTCTCTCTTTGGTCTCTCTCTCTGGTCTCTCTCTGGTCTCTCTCTCTGGTCTCTCTCTGGTCTCTCTCTCTTTGGTCTCTCTCTCTGGTCTCTCTCTGGTCTCTCTATCTGGTCTCTCTCTGGTCTCTCTCTGGTCTCTCTCTGGTCTCTCTCTTTGGTCTCTCTCTTTGGTCTCTCTCTGGTCTCTCTCTGGTCTCTCTCTGGTCTCTCTCTGGTCTCTCTATCTGGTCTCTCTCTCTGGTCTCTCTCTCTGGTCTCTCTCTCTGGTCACTCTCTCTGGTCTCTCTCTCTGGTCTCTCTCTGGTCTCTCTCTCTGGTCCCTCTTGGTCTCTCTCTGGTCTCCCTCTGGTCCCTCAGTCTCTCCCCGGTCCCTCAGTCTCTCCCCGGTCCCTCAGTCTCTCCCCGGTCCCTCAGTCTCGCCCGGTCCCTGTCTCGCCCCGGTCCCTGAGTCTCGCCCCGGTCCCTGAGTCTCGCCCCGGTCCCTCAGTCTCGCCTCGGTCCCTCAGTCTCGCCCCGGTCTCTGAGTCTCGCCCCGGTCCCTGAGTCTCGCCCCGGTCCCTGAGTCTCCCCCCGGTCCCTGAGTCTCGCCCCGGTCCCTCAGTCTCTCCCCGGTCACTCAGTCTCGCCCCGGCCCCTCAGTCTCTCCCCGGTCCCTCAGTCTCGCCCCGGCCCCTCAGTCTCGCCCCGGTCCCTGAGTCTCGCCCCGGTCCCTCAGTCTCTCCCCGGTCACTCAGTCTCGCCCCGGCCCCTCAGTCTCGCCCCGGCCCCTCAGTCTCGCCCCGGTCCCTCAGTCTCTCCCCGGTCACTCAGTCTCGCCCCGGTCCCTCAGTCTCTCCCCGGTCCCTCAGTCTCGCCCCGGCCCCTCAGTCTCGCCCCGGCCCCTCAGTCTCGCCCCGGTCCCTGAGTCTCGCCCCGGTCCCTGAGTCTCGCCTCGGTCCCTCAGTCTCGCCCCGGTCTCTGAGTCTCGCCCCGGTCCCTGAGTCTCGCCCCGGTCCCCGAGTCTCGCCCCGGTCCCTGAGTCTCGCCCCGGTCCCTGTGTCTCGCCCCGGTCCCTCAGTCTCTCCCCGGTCACTCAGTCTCGCCCCGGCCCCTCAGTCTCGCCCCGGCCCCTCAGTCTCGCCCCGGTCCCTCAGTCTCGCCCCGGTCCCTCAGTCTCGCCCCGCTCCTTCAGTCTCGCCCCGGTCCCTCAGTCTCGGCCCGGCCCCTCAGTCTCGCCCCGGCCCCTCAGTCTCGCCCCGGTTCCTGAGTCTCGCCCCGGTCCCTGAGTCTCGCCCCGGTCCCTCAGTCTCGCCTCGGTCCCTCAAGTCTCGCCCCGGTCTCTGAGTCTCGCCCCGGTCCCTGAGTCTCGCCCCGGTCCCTGAGTCTCGCCCCGGTCCCTCAGTCTCTCCCCGGTCACTCAGTCTCGCCCCGGCCCCTCAGTCTCGCCCCGGCCCCTCAATCTACTCGCCCCGGCCCCTCAGTCTCGCCCCGGTCCCTGAGTCTCGCCCCGGTCCCTCAGTCTCGCCTCGGTCCCTGAAAGTCTCGCCCCGGTCCCTCAGTCTCTCCCCGGTCACTCAAACTTTCGTATTCTCCCTCAGTCTCATTCACCAGATTGATATGGGCCTCTCAAAGAAGCATCACAGTGAATGTGAGATTATTGAAGCAGTCGTCAGAGCGGTGAGTCCTGGTCTCAGTCTACGTGATATGTTGGAGATAAAGTCCGATCTCACTCTGTCTCAGCTACGCACAATTCTGCGGGGACATTATAAAGAGGACAGCTCCACAGACCTGTACAATCGCCTAATGAATCTCACACAGGACAGCAATGAGTCACCCCAGAACTTTCTGTTTCGTGCGATTGAGTTAAAAGAAAGACTTTTAATGGCATCAAAAGAACCCGGCACTGAAGAGCAGTACAGTCCCAACTTAATCCAAAGAAAGTTTCTGAGGGCTGTGGAAACAGGACTGCTTAGTGTGGATGTAAAATACCAACTAAAGCAGTACTTGGAGGATCCTGCTGTTACAGACGAGATTTTGATTACTAAAACCAATGCAGCAGCCAGTCTTGAATGGGAACGACAACAAAAGTTCAAAAAGCACGCGAAAGAGCCTAAAATCAGAGAACTCACAGTAGAAGCTCAAATAGTTCCAGAAGCAACCGTCGCAAGTGTGAACAGTCAAGCGTGCCCTGCCCAGTCTACAAAAGGTAAAACTCCAAGACCACAAAGCACAGCTACACGCACTGAGTCGGAGCTTTTTGACCCGGTGACGCAGCTCAAAAGTGAAATGGAGGACATCAAGAAGGCTATACGTGAGTCTCCCAGAGCTTCTTACCCAAGAACAAACCGAAGACGCGGATGCAAAACCTGTCAGTCAGATAACAACGGAGACCAGTGTAACCACTGTTTCAAATGTGGGTTGAGTGGTCATGTGACGCGGGACTGTAGATCCAGGAAACCACCAGGTAAACTGACTGAAAAAGTAGACATGGCTGCAAGTACTGTCACAACCACAATGACACCAGTTGATCCTCAAGAGTTGTACAAAATAGTGACGAACAGCATCCAGAAGTTAGAAGCTAAACTGTCAGCTAAAGCAGAGGGGGAACTGGGTAAAGAAACAGCTAGTGTTAACCTTCTGTCTCCTAATCAGAAAACTCAGTTGCTCAGTCTGATTGGAAAAAAATACGTCATTAGCTGCTCCCTCAATGATGTAAATGTCAAGGGGTGCAAAATGGGTGGTGGGTTTTAATATAGTTTATTTATATTTTATGCATGTCGTGTGTGTGTTTTTAATATTGATTTTAATTTGCACCACCTGAAGCACCCCGGCTCCCCACGTGACAATTAGAACACCTGTGCCACGGTACAAAAGGAGATGGGGAGGGGGCAGGAGAAGGAAAACTGAGAGGGAGCCAGACAGGGGAGCCAGGCGCGGCGGGTGAGAGCCCCGTGGTCTGGCGGCCCAGGCCGTGGAGACGTATTTTAGCCTGTTTTAGCCTCTGTTTTAGCCCTTTTTTTAGCTTAGATTTTTATTGCTTTTATTTACTTGTTTTTAATGTATTTTATAATAAATTGCTTTTAATTCGCTTTTAATCCAGTGGTCCTTTTTAAATCCGGGTCCGAAGAACCTGTTTTTACACTTGTGACATAAACACAAAAGCTTTGTGGGACACAGGTTCACAGGTCTGCCTCATAAATGAGACCTGGAGATAAAACAACATGCCAGACACTACAGTTAGGGACCTAGCTGAGTTGGTGGGTCCAGATGTACTGGATGGGAGAGCAGTAAACCAGACACCTATTCCGTTTTCTGGGTGGGTGGAGGTTACATTTAAGCTTCCTGCAGACAGTGATCCTCATGTAGAGCTCTCAGTCCCTGTGTTTGTGGCAAATGGACCTGGAGTCGCAGAACAACCTATAATTGGGTTTAATGTGATTGAGCATGTCCTTAAAATGGGCATTGAACCCCCACGCACACTCAGTGAAGCAGTTAGCGCAGCCTTCTCATTTGACTGTAAGAGAACAGAGGTGTTCCTGAAGGTGATGCAAAGTGAGGAAGATGGGTTGGGGGAAGGCATGGTAAAAACAGGTAATGAGACAGTGACTATTCCTGCGGGCCACACCAAATCGGTTAAGTGTTTTGTCAGAGCAGGCACAGTTACAGACACGCAAGATGTACTTTTTGAGCCAAATCAGTACACTCAGTTACCGGATGGGTTACAGATGCAGAGTGGGGTAGTACTGTTAAGGAAGGGGCGTCAGTCCATGTTGATCATCCCTGTCACAAACAGTAGTAGCCGTGACATCGAAGTGCATGCTAAAACAGTTTTGGGACAGACACAAAGGGTCAAAACAATTTATCCTGCAGATATGAAGCCAGCTTCTGTAGGTCAAGTTGTAACGGATCCAGTTATGGACAATCAAAACATGAAGTGTAGAGATGTGGACAATACCGCTAATGCATCTACTGACATTTGGGAGCCCCAAGTTCCCCTCGATCACCTCCCCCCAGCAGAACAGGGCAGAGTTAGACAGCTTTTGAGGGAGGAGAGACATGCATTTGCGCGTGATGGGTATGATGTAGGCACAATTCCCTCTCTACAGTTAAAAATAAGATTGAACGATCCCACTCCCGTCAAGAAGACTTACATCTCAGTACCTAGACCGCTGCACAAAGAGGTGAAAGAATACCTAGAGGACTTATTGAACAGGGGTTGGATAACTAAATCAAGGTCATCATACTCCAGTCCCATTGTTTGTGTGCGGAAAAAGGACGGTGGTCTGCGCTTGTGTTGCGATTTCAGAGAGCTGAATAAAAAGTCCATACCCGACCGTCACCCCATCCCCCGCATACAGGACATGTTGAACAGTTTAAAAGGAAGTGCGTGGTTTTCAGTCCTCGACCAAGGGAAGGCATATCACCAGGGTTTCGTGGAAGAGTCGAGCCGTCCCCTCACTGCTTTCATAACACCGTGGGGTCTCTTCGAGTGGGTAAGGATTCCATTTGGTCTGTCCTCAGCACCGGCAGTATTCCAAAAATCGATGGAGGAGTGTTTGTGGGGGTTGAGAGATGACATTTGCTTGCCTTACCTCGATGATAATTTAGTCCATTCACAGACATTTGAAGATCACCTGCGTGACTTGAGAAACGTCCTTCATCGTTACCAGAGCCACGGAGTGAAACTCACTCCACGAAAATGTGAGTTATTCAAGCAGCAGGTACGTTTTCTCGGCAAGATGGTCACAGAACAGGGCTATACTATGGATCCTGCGGACATTGCCCCAGTGCAGGCGTTAAAACAGAACCAGCCTGCCACTATAGGAGAGTTAAGAAAGTTATTAGGCTTTGTCTCGTATTATAGGAGCTACATACCAAACTTCTCTCGCATAGCTAAGCCTCTGTACGACCTCCTAGCAAATAAAGAAACGGATACAAAAAAACCAAACACAAGGAAACTAAGTAAACTGAAACAAAATGGGGTGGGTCAACTGCCTTCGTCCCATAAAATCAAGTGGTCATTTGAGCATCAGACAGTGCTGAGCCAACTCATTGACTGTTTATCCCAGCCCCCTGTGTTGGGTTACCCAAACTTTGAGGAGCCCTTTATTTTGCATTGTGACGCTTCACAAGAAGGACTTGGGGCAGTGCTTTACCAGAGGCAAAACGGGAAACTGGTAGTCATAGCATATGGCTCCAGGACGCTTACAAATCCAGAGAAGAACTATCACCTTCATTCAGGGAAACTGGAGTTCCTTGCCCTGAAGTGGGCCATATGTGAGAGGTTTCGGGATTTTCTATACTATTCACCCCCATTTACTGTCTATACTGACAATAATCCCCTTACATATGTGCTCACCACCGCAAAATTAAATGCAACAACACAGAGCTGGATGGCAGAGCTTGCGGATTTCCAGTTTGTCATTAAGTACCGGCCAGGAAAAGCAAATGGTGATGCAGACGGCCTCTCACGTATGCCCTTAGATATGGAGCAATACATGAGCAAATGCACGCAAGATGTTCAGCCTGAAGTTAGGCAATGTGTGGCTCAAGCAGTCAAGGTGAAGTCACAAGTGAATGAGCCTTGGCTTTGTCCAGTTACTATTTCCACTCTTATTAGTGCAGAAGATCTGGAAATGAGCTCAGTGGCTGAACTATCAAAGGCTGATTTGAAGAGAGCTCAAGAGGAAGACTCAGTTATTGGAGATGTTTTGGGATATGTGATGTCAAAGCAATGGCCAAAAAGTATAAAACATCTAAACAATAAAATCGCAGCCCTTGTCAGAGAAAAACACAAACTTCAAATAGGAGATGATGGACTGCTTTATCGGAAAACAGCCTCCCGCATCCAGCTGCTCTTGCCCCAAAAGTTCCATAAGCTGGTTTACAAAGAGTTACATGAGGACATGGGCCATTTAGGGGTAGAGAGGGTCATGCATCTGATCAGGGAGCGCTTTTATTGGGCTCATATGCAAAGAGACGTTGAACATTACATCACTAAAGTGTGCAGTTGTTTGAAGAATAAGCGTCCCAACAGACCCACCAGAGCTCCGTTAACAAATATTGTCACTACATACCCGTTTGAACTAGTGTCAGTGGATTTTCTACATTTAGAAAGATGCAAAGGAGGATTCGAGTACATTTTGGTTATAATGGACCACTTCACTCGTTTTGCCCAGGCTTACCCCTGTCGCAACAAGGCTGCCCATACTGCTGCTGAGAAGATATTTGGGGACTTTGCGCTCAAGTTTGGTTTTCCCACTCGTCTTCACCATGACCAGGGAAAAGAGTTTCAAAATAAACTCTTCGCAAAGTTACAGGAGTATAGTGGAGTACAGGGATCGCGGACTACACCTTACCACCCCCAAGGAAATGGGCAGGTGGAGCGGTTTAACCGTACTTTGCTGGCTATGCTCAGAAACTTGCCTGAAGCAGCAAAAGCAGATTGGAAGTCTTCTCTCGCTAAGGTAGTTCATTCATATAACTGCACGCGCAGCGAGGCTACGGGGTATGCGCCATATTTCTTATTGTTTGGTCGAAGCCCAAAATTGCCAATTGATCTCATGTTTGGCCTGGAAACAAAAGAGCAGAGTTCATCACATCAAGAATATGCTGGAAAGTGGAGGATAAAAATGACTGAAGCTTACAAACTGGCCTCAAAATCAGCCTACAAAGAGGGAACGAGAGGTAAAGCCCTCTATGACAAAAAAGTTTATGGTGCTGAGTTGCTCCCAGGATCCAGAGTTCTGGTCAGGAACTTAAATGAAAAAGGTGGGCCAGGAAAACTTAGATCTTTCTGGGAAGATCGTGTTTATGTTGTAACTCAGAGGAAACATCAAGACAGCCCAGTGTATGAGATAGGATGGCTCCTGTTCGGCGACCCCGCTCCCATCTCTGTGTGGAGTGAGAGGACAAGTGCTCAAAAAATAACAATTGTAAACCGCTTTGTGACTCTGGTCTGTGAAAGGCGATATATAAATAAAGCTTACTTACTTACTTACTTAGATAAAACCGGAAAATGGCAAAGGACGCACACGTATACTGCACAGGAATTTGCTGCTGCCATGTGACTTCCTCCCTGTTGAAATGACTGTGCCTCCTGATAAAGAGACAAAGAAGAAGAAAAGAGACACAAAAAGACAAAGTCACATGGACACACAGAACAGCACAGCCGATGAGGATGAAGATGGCTGGCATGCCATAATCGGGCTGCGGACGGGAAATAGCCCTGAAGAGGACAATCATCTGAGAATCGAAGCACCTGAGTTCCACCCAGACAATGACATGACTCAGGAGGGTGAGGAGCACGACACAGACGACGACACAATGCCACATGTGGCACCAGAAGCCGAGGCGCCAGAGGACCGGGCTGAGAAAGTCGACGGTCAGGATGAGGTGTTGTCTGAGTCCAGCTCCAGTGACCAAGAGAATCCGGTCGACACCCCAGCTAAACAGTATCCTTTCAGACTTAGAAAGAAAAGAGTGATATTTACCTATGATAAATTAGGTGTGCCTAGCACTTCAAGTGTTTAGCAAAAGGAAAGAAGTGAACAATGTTCCCTCTAATTTTTCATTTGTCTGGGCAAACACCCAAGCTCCCTGAGCACACTGAGAACCACTGTGAGCAACATCAGATGTGCACGCTCTGACCAAACACCAGTACCTGTTCAAAACCTTGGATCATAGCTAATTACATGGCTTATTAAAAGAATCAAATTACAGCAGCAATTTGCACTAGTTTACTTTTAAAATAAGTAATTAGGCCCACATTAAATGAAAAAGACAAAAATCTTGGGAAGAGTCCTGCTTTGGCCATGGGAAGAGTCCTGCTTTGGCCATGGGAAGAGTCCTGCTTTGGCCATGGGAAGAGTCCTGCTTTGGCCATGGGAAGAGTCCTGCTTTGGCCATGGGAAGAGTCCTGCTTTGGCCATGGGAAGAGTCCTGCGCTGTGGCCATGGGAAGAGTCCTGCTTTGGCCATGGGAAGAGTCCTGCGCTGTGGCCATGGGAAGAGTCCTGCTTTGGCCTGGCTGAGGTCCAGTTGTGGCCTGGCTGAGGGTCATGTTCTGGAAGAAATTATACATATATACCCTTAAGACAAAACATTTTGTTCACATTAAAACATTCACATTTTGCACAATGATGTCTGCTGTAGCTTGTGATACAGTGTAAATTCCTGTAACTCTTTGTCTGTAAAAAATCTTATTACTCAATTATTTATTAGCATTTCTACTACCCATACATTATCTAGAAGTAACAGCCTTTAATGATTAAATATCCATAAATAAGAAATCTGATTAAATGTCACTAGAATATGCACAAATCTGACTCAAATTTTACCTTATTTTTCACGTCTGTCCTTCTCACTTCTCCAATGGTTGTACACTTTGTCCAGGTTGATGGCTTCGTCTGCTTGTTGCTTTGCTTTGCTCTCATCTACTATAAGGGTATGCCAAGGAGAATTTTTAACACTGCACAAATTCAAAAGGCATAGTTTTTGCTTCGCCAGTTTTCTGGTATACTCACATACTTTGCCATGTGATCGTGGATTTGTTGAACTGACAGCATTGATGCATTCATTTTGATGGCAAGTAAAATGTTATCAATCAGAACTTTAACTTGTTCGGGGTGAGATTTTATTTTGAGTGACAGCACGTTCCTTTTCTCTCTGTCTTTTGAGCTCTCCAGCAATAACGTACCAATCCCCTGTCCCATCTTGAGTCTTTGTACAATTCCAACAGCTTTCAAATGACTTTTGTGCTGAATGTGCCGCTTGAGGTAGTCCAACTTCCATTCAGTCCACATTTTTCCCTCCGAAAATTCACTCGCTACTTTGGCTTTGCTGCATGTTTTACAGAGTAGTCCTTTCTCACTCGAAAAATTAAAAATCTCACCCAGTTTCACCACTTCTTCTATTTTCACATTCTCCGACAGCCATTCCACCTTAAAAGAACCGCATTTCTTTTTTACTTTGGCTTGGTGAGTGGGTGTGTCGCTGCCATGGATGTATTATATTAACTGGATAGGGTATTACTAGCTTGTAGCTGAATAACTCACGTGCTCAGGGGATTCTCGCGGTACTGCAGACTGAACCAGACTAAATTCACGTGGGCCAAGATGGCGCCCTATTCAAATGAATGGTTGTGCTCAGTGGCGCTTTGTGACGGCATGGGGGCTGAAAGATTAGCGGAAGTTGCCTGAAACTCGCAAAGATCTATGGGAAACTCGCTTGTATTTGGGCATCGTCTGGTCCTCCCGGTTTTGTGCAGTGGATGATCTCCCATAATGCGTTGCACCAAACACGCGTGTGTGGGTCTCACACCGGGTTTCACGCACGTGCACAGAGGGGCTCGGCCGCGCTCTGACCAATCAGAGCAGTTCATCAGAGCGGGAGTTAGAGCGAGAGCCAGACGAGCAGAGTTTGTGGCACTAAAGTGTGCATTTAAACAAAACCGAAGGATTTAAGAAGAAAAAAAGTTCAGGATGACAAGGGACACTAAAATCCCCACAAAATCCGACCTTTATGAAAGCTGTAGGTTCTCTGTCAGCTGAGGTTGAGCTGTTTTAATATGCATTGAGTTCTATGGGGAAAATTTCTGGGTAGCCCGCGTGAATTTAGTCTGGTGCAGTCTGCAGTACCGAGAGAATCCCCTGAGCACATGGGTTATTCAGATGGGTTATTCAGCTACAAGCTAGTAATACCCTATCCAGTTAATATAATAGATCCATGCTCTCTCCTCAGTATTGCCGTGCCGTTAGCTAGCTAACCTGCGCGTACATCAATGGGCGCATACGGGCAGGGCAAATCAATGCTATAATTGGCCACGTAGGTGAGTGAACCGCATCGTATTATTGGCTCAACACCTGTCACTCACTGAGTTATGTTGCAAAATGAACAGAAAACAGTATTATTGGTCTAATTAAATAGATTAAATTAGGTCTAATATTTGATATTAATGAACACGTTTATTTTGAATTTTATTTTTGTGCGCAGCACAAGTTTTCTTGTGCGCTGAGACTGTGCAAGCAGTGCGCGATTGCGCACGCGCGCAGCTTAGAGGGAACATTGGAAGCGAAGTCACTCAAGTTTTATGTTTAAAGTTTGAATTGTTAAATATGAGCAGTTTTTGATTTGGCTCATACGTTACATAAATACTAGTTGTAGATTGAACACTTTACATAATATGAATAGATTTCAGTGTGTTAATTTGGCAACTGCACCACATATTGGTAAAGGGATAATAGTAGGCTATGACTGTGTTGAGTACCTTACTCTCAGGGAAGATGCAGATACTCATTATTGTGAACGATGCAGGGGAATGTTATAGTGCACAAAGACTTCTTCTGCAGACGTATGGCATGGAACGGAGATACATGTTGTACTGTGGACTGTAACCAGTTATGCATCTTTATGGACTCTTATGTTCACCCGACTCCAGCATATTAGTATCCTGCTGACATGTCATGCATATTTACCAGATGTGGACTGTCTTTTGGTGTGTATTTTAGAGGTTTTATAATGTCGGGTCGGCATTACATTTTTGAGGGGAGAGTGTGGGAATAAGGATATTTTACTGGTTAAATTCGGACACCCCTGTAATATTTCATGTTTTACTTTATTTTTATTTTTAATGTCTTATTGAGACTATATGAAGGCACAGTATTTAATGTTAGTTTACATTAAAATAGCATACTGGCGCCACCAGGTGGCGTTCGCCTGTTTTTGAGTTAAGGTGAGGGCCTCACGAGAGAGAAAGTGAGGAGAGTTTCAGAGAGAACATGATTGTGAACCTGCAGTTGCCTGTCGTGCTAAAGGACAATAACACCACTGTGAATCGTCAGATGCTGCCTCTTCTTTACACGTGCAACATTTAGACACTATGTTTTTGATCCTGGCAATGTTTTTTAGATGGTAAAAAGCTGCTGATGATACTGATTTGATGTGGCTATTAAAATTTATGTCTGAGTCCAGTATTACCCCTAGATTTCTGACCTTGTTTGAAGGTTTTAGGGAGAGAGACTGGAGGTGACAGATGACGCTCTCTCTTTGTTTCTGGGGACCAAAGACAATCATTTCAGTTTTGTCTGCGTTTAGCTGAAGGAAGTTGTTTTGCATCCACTCACTGATCTGTTGGATACAGTGAAGGAGTGAGTCCACTGGTCCATGTTCTCCTGCAGTCAGTGAGACATAGATCTGAGTGTCGTCTGCATAGTTGTGATAGGACACTTTGTTTCTGCGTATTAACTGACCTAACGGCAGCATGTAGAGATTGAACAGAAGAGGTCCCAGGATCGACCCCTGTGGTACTCCACAGGTCAGGGCCATATGATCTGAGACACAGTTTCCATTCTCCACAAAGTACTTCCTGTCTTCAAGGTAAGACCTAAACCAACTTAGGGCGGTACCAGCGACGCCAACCCAGTCCTCTAGTCTCTGTAAGAGGATCTCATGGTCGACAGTGTCAAAGGCAGCACTCAGATATAACAAGATTAAGATTGAGACTTTGCCTGCGTCAGTGTTCAGCCGGATATCATTTGTAACTAGGGCTGGGCAATTAATCGGCTTTTGAAAAAATCGAAATCGTGAAAAATTTTAAAATCGTGAAATCGAATGAAGGATATTGTGAGAGTTCCAGCAGCACATGAATTATACTTGCAATATCAGCACAGTCAGTACAAGACTTTTATAATACGTATTGGGGGAAACAAAATCAAAATGGTTCTGGTATTGAGCGGAAAGATCTAAAAATATTTTTAAGGGCAAACTTTAATGAAAATCGATTTAAAATCGAAATCGTCCAAAGCAGGAAATAAAATCGAGATTTTACTTTTTTGCCATATCGCCCAGCCCTATTTGTAACCTTAACGAGAGCAGTCTCAGTGCTGTGGTGGGGTCTAAAGCCGGACTGAAACATATCAAATGAGTTGTTGATTATAAGAAATCTAGTAAGCTGTAGGTAGACAACTTTTTCAAGGACTTTCCCCATAAATGGCAGATTTGAGATGGGACGATAATTATTGAGTACCGTAGCATCCAGACTGCTCTTTTTAAGCAGGGGCCTGATGACTGCAGTTTTCAGGGCCTTTGGGAATATTCCAGAATGAAGGGACATGTTTACTATCTGTGTGAGTGAAGGTACAGTGCCTTGCGAAAGTATTCGGCCCCCTTGAACCTTTCAACATTTTGCCATATTTCAGGCTTCAAACATAAAGATATAAAATTTAAATTTTTTGTCATGAATTCGGACACAATCGTGAAGTGGAATGAAATTTGTTGGATAATTTAAACTTTTTTAACAAATAAAAAACGGAAAACTGGGGACGTGCAATATTATTCGGCCCCTTTACTTTGAGTGCAGCAAACTCAGTCCAGAAGTTCAGTGAGGATCTTTGAATGATCCAATGTTGTCCTAAATGACTGATGATGATAAATAGAATGCACCTGTGTGTAATCAAGTCTCCGTATAAATGCACCTGCTCTTTGATAGTCTCAGGGTTCTGTTTAAAGCGCAGAGAGAACCATGAAGACAAAGGA